AGAACTTTGTCATATAGCCAATGATCAAATTATTGCAACAAGTGATTATAATCACTATTAGCTAGACAATATTAAGACTGTTCAAGATTTAGGAAATATTAAAATGTGTGAATTTAGTATGGGATCTTAATATTATTTTTAATAAAAATTATTTTTATTCAAATATTGAATGTAAAAAAAAAAAATAATATTCTCTATAGTAAAGAATGGAAAATAAAAAAATGAAATCAATTTTAATAGAAATGTTAACAATAATAAAATGGATAACAAAACTTGTGATAAATGTAACTTAACAGTTAGTTACAAAAATTGGTCTAGACATTTGAAATCTATTCGTCATCAAAACAATGATCCAGATCAAACAATTATACCTCGATTTAGACGAACATACAGAGGTACAACAACAACAAATGTAAGAACAAGACAAGAGAGAATACCAAAAATAGATAAAACTTGTGATATTTGTAAATATTTATATAAATATAATATAATATTCAATAAATGATTTAGGTGAATTTTTCGACACAAAAATGAATTTTAAACAACATATCAATAAAATAAAAAATAAAGCATCTTCGAAGTTAGGATTCTTAAAACGACAATGTTCAAATTAACAATCATTTCGCATTAAAAAACATTTATTTTTCTATTGTACGTTCTCAACTATAATATTATGCTGCTTTCATTTGGTCTCCTAATTCCTTAATTCTAAATCAAACTCATGATTCCGTTCAAAATTCTTTTTTACGCTTTTTATCCTTCAAATGTAATGTAGAACGCCTTTCACATTCAGATTATGAGGGAGTATCTGGTTTTTTCAACATACCTACTTTGAGAAATCGTAGAAAATATCTAGCTTACATTTTTCTTTTTAATTTATTAAATAACAAAATTGAATGCCAAGAAATACTAGAAAGATTAAATTTTAAAGCAAAAATTAATTTAACTAGAAATAACGATTTATTCACTTTGAAAATTATACGAACCAATTATTCTTTTTCCTCCCCAATAAATTCACTGATGTCTATTGCAAATTCAGTTAATTTAGATTTGTTTTTTTGTAATATAAATAGTATTAAATCAGCATTTAATGTTTGATTATTTAAAATGTATTTTTTGTTTTGTTTCAATGTTTTTAATTGTTCACTGTTAATTCAGTCTAAATGTAATTATATTTAATATATTGTAAACTATACTTATACTATATCTAGGTTTAAATAATATGTAATCACTAAACTAAATATTCATCATATGTTTTGTTACACTGTACACTATATATTAATATTGTAAATGGATTTATTCCGTAAATAAATTATATATACAAAAGGCTGTACAGATACATTATATTAGGTACACATATTTACAACTTATATTATATACTGTAGGCGTTAAAAAAAAAATAATGTGATGGCCAAAAGAATAATTTACACGAAATTACATGATTTATTTTATTAAGGCAGTGTATATTAAAATTCAACATTACATAGCGGTATATTACATACGAGTTATCCGAAACGCGGACGGGTGACAACTGTTGAACTGTAGGCCTCGTCGAAAACGATTAACCGTCGACGGGTCGTTATTATAATTAACAAGATAAGATATAAAATAGTGTGTGCGTGTTGGTCGGTCAGACGACGACCAAAACGCACACAGCTGTACAATATTATTTAATAATGATAATAAAGTAAAAGAAATCATACAATACAATTATACAAAAGGCTGTACAGATATATTTACAAATTATATTATATACAAAAGGCTGTACAGATACATTTACATTACAGCTATTTACAAATTATATTATAATATTATATACAAAAGACTGTACAGATAAATTACATTATAACACAACAACAGTGTGGACTGTGGAATGCACTAACAGTCAGTTACTGACCATCCCTAACATGCACGTAATAAGATGATATTCCCCCGCTACCGCTCACCCCATCATGCTGAAAATCCTCACCGTATGTGACGTATAACAAAAGATTTTATTTCAACCTTTTCTCACTATATTTAAAACTAAAAACTAAAATATATATAGGATATTTAAAACTAAAATACATGCATATCACCAAGTCTCCTCCTCATGAACGTGGTATGGTCTATATTTATCTCCGAAAGTATTTTTTCGATCGACATATAATTTCCTAACTTTTGTCATATCAATTTCAATACCTAACTGGAACAAAATATTTTTCTGATATTTTGTTTCAGGACCTAGATTTTTATTTAAATCTAAATATTCTAAAACTTTTAAATTAGAACGATCACATGAGTTGAGGAAAATTCTGAACGTTAGATTGTGCCAATAATTATCTCCTATCTGAACGTTCTTCAATTCCAGGTCCTCGTAATGTAAACGTTTAGATGTAACAGTTTTAGAAGCTAGATTATTAAAATATCTGGGCCCTGAAACATTATCGAAAACCAGACTATGACAGGCTAAATAAAAGTTCCAGTTAGCGTGACCTCTATCACATTTCAATTGGTATACCAACTGATATATTTTTCTGAAAAAATATTCAAAGTCATAGCTAGAATACCTAGCTAATAGAGCTATCAGCCATTTTGGTTTTCCCTGAAACTTTTCGGAGACAAATTCAATCCATAACGGTTGACCCTCTAAATGGTACATACCACAAAACATGCGTATTTTCTTCTTACAATTCATGCAATATATTTTTTTGTGTGTCTGTGTACCGCATGAGGGAGAAAGCATGTATTCTAACGTGTTTCCGAAATAATCATGCACTACTTCTAAGACTGTTAAAAAAAAAAAAAATAGCACTAATATTAAAAATCGCACTAATATTAAATATTAAATATATATATTTACTCGAATTGACGTCCATAGTATTTTAACAGAGTAGCACAGGAATAAAAATTTGATTCCTGAAAATTTTGGTTGATTCCAAAATTTTGATAGGCTTCGAAAGTATAAGTACAACTAAATCGATAATATCGATAGACTTGTCGCGGTCGTTATCGCAACGGCCGCGGTGTCTCTATCGGCGTCCGCGAGATCGCGACCGACAACCGGTCTGGCCGCCCCCTTCGGCACGGCCGCCGGCCCGGCCAGCGGCGGTGGCGACGGTGGCAGATTTCGCCGGACCGTTGACAACGTCGCACACGTCGAAATAGTAAATCCGCGATAATTATATAGTGTCTATATATTATTATATCGTACTTAATAAACGTGTTGTCGTTACCAAAAAGTGTCTACATTCTTTCTAAACCGTCCACATACCTACATTGGCGCAGTCGGAACAGGAGTAAGGTAAGTGCTAATTTTAATAAAAAATAATTTTACGTAAATTAAAGTAAATTAGCACATATCGGGTTAAAAGAACCTACAATAGGTGTCCTGGTCATACCGGTTCCTAATATTTTTTTTTATTCTGATTTTTTATTATAAATAAAATATTAAGGGCTTGTCCAATCTAAGGTGGTAAATTGTAGCAAAATTTGCATAATTTAGCGTAATTCCTACAGTGCTAAACTTGGTTTAGGCTATTTATAGATTGGAAAGTACATATCTCTACCAGCGATATCCCGAGTTACGTAATCTCATATCTAACGTACTTTAATTAGGTAGATAATAGCAGTTAAATTTAATAATCACAATGGGTACGAAACACATTGGTGAATTAACTATTGCTGAGATTAACCGGGAGTTACATAAGCGTGGTATTGAGACCGGGGGGTCCAAGGCCGATAAACTCTTAGCATTAGAAGAGTATATTAGGGCTAAGGAAAATTTGGATCCAGGATCAGTACGGTTTGGGGAAACTGACGAGACGTCAGCCCAGGTACCGGAAGGGAAAACATCGGTGGCTCAAACTGAGGAGGATGAGGTCGACTCTGAAAAGAGTTTGATAAACCAGTTTATGGAGCAGATGTTAGATAGGCTGGAGGGGTTGGAAGCAACGGTCGACAAGCAGCAACTGACAATCGCTACTCTCAGCGAGAGCGTGGAACGCTTGGAGCGGGAGTTAGCCGAAGAAAAGCTCAAGTCGACCGAACGGGTGGAGCAAGCAAGTTGCTCATGCCGTGGAAATACCCAACAACCATCAACCAGCGACTTATCCGGGGCAAATCAGAGTTGCTCGGACGAAAGTCAAAATCGTCCGGTCAAAACTCAAAAAATGAGTTTTGAGAGCCGATGAGCGAACATACGGAGCAGATTGACCGGGGAAAACCCGAGAAATCGGAGTGTTTCCGGAGGTTCCGGTAACCAGTCCGGAGTGTCCGGTGAAATGTCCGGAGTCTTCGGTAATCTGTCCGGAGTGTCCGGTGAAGTTTCCGGCAGAAGTCATGAGGAAGCGTTACGGAGTAGTTTTTCCGGTGTAAAACGCGTGCATTTCCCGGATAGCCTGCTCATTCCTCAAAATGAGTTGAATATGGCCCGTGCGTCGATACCAGAGTTTGCCAATAAGAGGGAGGAAGACCCAGTGCGGTTTTTGCTCCAGGCCGAGGCAATACTTGAAGAAACTGGTATCCACAAGGCTAGATGGGTGACCGTTTTGGCTCCTCAGCTGAAGGCTCAGGCAGGAACATGGTGGGGAACCATGAGAGCGTTGGACTTACCATGGCAAGAGTTCAGGGCGGAATTATTGGAGAAGTTCAACGGTGACGAGTTGCAGTCGAGTCTGCAATCAGAATTGTTGAGCACCGCTCAGACCAAGACCGAAACACTGGGGGAGTACGTCCTACACAAGTACCAGTTGTATCGGCGGTTAAACCTTGGTCTGACAGAAGAGGCGGTGGTAATGACAGTGATTGGACTCATGCGTGATGAATTCAGAATTCATGCACGTATACAGCGACTGAAATCGTTCAGCGAATTACGAGCGCTTGCCCATGTTCTGGATGGTAGCAAGGCCGTAATTACGGATAAGGCGGGAGTGAGCACCAGCGTACCACCAAAGTCAAAATGGTTGGATAGACGAAAAGCTGAGAGTGCAGAGAAATCCCAAGTGCCAAATCCGAAGCAACGACTATCTTCGGGAGCAGGATGCAGAGTATGTGGTAGTCATGACCACTGGCAAGCTGCATGTCCGAAAAGAAAGTCGGAGTCGGGAAACGCCAAAACGACCGGCGGGACCGCCGGGTCCCGACCGGCCAGGAAGTAACCGGCGGAAAAGTCACGAGTCGTCCGAAGAGTGGTAAGCAACGAAGTTCAACTCGGGCAGTGAGTAACGTTCCGGAGCAGGAACCACAAATTACAAGAACTGACCCGAAGAAACGGAACTTCGGAGCGTTACGGACCGGAGACTCGGGAAAGGGCCCGAGGAAATCGGACCAAAAGAGTTCTGAACCGGTAAAATCTGGTAAGAACGTAATTCCTCCGGAGGAAAACTTTGGTCACCCGAAGGAAACCTCCGGAGTGAGGAGTTGTCCGGTGAAAACCGTCGAGCCTCCGGAGAGACGCCGGAGAAATCGCCGAAGCCACCCGAGAAAACCCATTGAAAACGACGTTCTGGTAAAGGAACCACAGTTCGTGACAATGGACCGGGTAAATGGTTCAGTGATGGAAACGGGTTTCGACCAGCGGGACAACAGGTCGGGAAAATCGTTTAGGATTGAAAGTGTTCCGGACAAAAGTGAAAATCTCACCGAGGTGAAGGATCTTTCCAATAAAAATGTCGCGGACAGCATTTCAAGTGATGCGGAACAAGATGAGTTAACACAGGAGTTGTTAATTTGTCCGGTCACAGCCGAAGATTTTTCCGAGGAGTTTATTCCTTATCCACGGGAAAAGTGCAAGAGGAGAAACTCAGATACGGACTCAAAGTTCGAGTTGAGAGAACGCTTTTGGGGTCTACGGACCGGAGTGTTAGAGTCTCCAGCCATTGCAACGGTGTCAACGGGGAAAACTACAGTTACGGATGTTCCGTTACCGGCCATAGAACTAGAGTTTGCACTCGGGGCAGTAGTAGCGCTACTGGACTCCCAAGCGGCGAGGACATACGTGATACGTCAAACCGTGGGTGGCAAAGAAGTTTGGCCGGAGTTTTACCGAAGAACCGGAGATTGTCCGGATGGCGGACGGTCGGACCCGAGAAATTACGGAGTTTTCCGAATTTCGGGCCCGGATAGTGGATCTGGAGGTTAGCTTCAGGGCAGCAGTGTTAGACGATCTCATTGGAGATGTCTTCCTGGGCCATGATTTCCTCGTGGAGCAACAAGTCGCTTGGGACTATAGCGGTTGCATAATCCACCTGGGGAAAGGAAGACGTGTTTCCGTGAGTTGGAGAAATCCAGTAACTCCGGTCACCGTAGGAGTGGACTTAACAACCGCAGGATTACCCGAAGGAGAGTACGGTATGCGGGTCAAAAAAGTCCTTTGCCAATATCCGGAGGTTTTCTCCGGAGAGGTAGGCAGAACTCGGGTGATAGAGCACCAGATCCGTCTCAAGGATCCAAATCCGGTGGCTCTAAACGCTTACGGGTACTCCCGAGAGAAAAACGAGGTTATTGCCGAAATGGTGCGAGACATGGAGGAACAGGGTTTTGTTGAACCTAGCATATCTCCATGGGCTGCACCGGTGGTACTCGTGAAGAAAAAGGATGGCTCACGTAGGTTTTGCGTGGACTATCGCCGTTTGAACATGCAGACGGAGTCGGACGCTCACCCGATGCCGGACCTTCATGACATGGTCCGAGGAATGGGTGGAGCGAAGATTTACAGCACCATGGATTTGAAATCAGGATATTGGCAAGTGGGTCTCTCACCAGAGACACGTCCACTCACGGCGTTCAGGACCCAAAGAGGATTATTCCAGTTTAGAGTAATGCCTTTTGGACTTAAAAACGCCCCCGCCACATTCTGTCGCTTGGTAAGCGAAGTCTTTCGTGGGTTAGTTGGTAAATTTGTGTTGGTTTATTTGGATGATATTGTGGTATACTCGGAGAGTCCCGAACAACATCTAAACCACTTGCAGAGAGTCTTGGAGCGACTCCAGTCTTACGGTCTGACGTGCCAACCGAAAAAATGTACATTCGGGGTGACACAGATCAAATTCCTAGGTCACGTCGTGGACGGTGAAGGAATAGACCGGGAACCGGAGAAACTGACGGCAATTCAGGAATTACCGGTTCCAAAGAAGACAAAAGACGTGTTACGGGTGTTGGGCGTTTGTGGTTGGTACAGTCAGTTCGTGCCACACTACGCCGAGATCACAGCACCACTCACGAGTCTGTTGGCAAAAGGGACCAAATGGCGTTGGTCAGAAATTGAGCAAGAGGCGTTCCGGAAGTTGAAGGAGTCTTTGGTGTCCGCACCACGGCTCTGCCCTCCTCTTCCGGGTAAGCCATTCAATCTACAGACCGACGCAAGCGAAGTCGGAGTTGGTGCCGTGCTCTTCCAGCGGGGGGAGAGTGGTGACAGGAAAATCATTTCCTACGCCAGCAAGAAACTCAATCCAGCACAGGGAAGATACTCGGCAGTCGAACGTGAATGTCTAGCCATAGTTTGGGCGGTTGACAGGTTCAGGCCGTATCTTGAGTCTGGTAAGTTTATGTTATTTACAGATAACGCGGCGCTCCGATGGTTACAGCAAGCTCGCTGTACCAACAGCAAACTAACGCGATGGGCGCTACAACTCGGGGCTTTCGATTTTGAAATCCGGCACGTACCTGGAGTAGAAAATGAAGCAGCCGACGCGCTAT